ATATGGGTGGAGTAAACGAACTTATAAACAAACTGCAATCTACCTTGACAGTGCGTTCTTATAAAGAATAACAGTCTTGACTAGACAAAGCCAACTTTCAGCCGGTTGCAGGCTATAAACTATTGAAGAGCCAGACAGAGTGACTCTAGTTTTAAGGTAGTCCTTGAGTCTCAGAAAAGCCTGTAGCTCCCTGATAACCACAGCATGAGTCAGGGAATAACTGGCAAGAACCTAAGATAAGCAGAGCAAAGACCCCTTGCATTTCAAACCCAATGCAAGACCAGCCAGATGGCACCAACAAAGTGCTATGTCTACAGCATCAAGCTGTCCTCGGTGTATTATAAAAGCTGTGAAAAAACAGAGGTCGTGGTCTTCCTGAGTAACCAGCTGCGACTGTGTGCACCGAAGTCCAGGCTCAAGCTTGCAACAAACGACTCTTTTGCTTTTGCATCGATTATGGTCTCCAGTGGTCTTTGGGGGTCCCTCTCTGGGCACTTCACTATTCAGTAATATCCAAATAAGGCAAATGTTAAGCTGAGTCCAATTAGTCTATTTCTGTTCTCTATTTCCTTTTTCACTCTATAAATACAGCCTTTCTATGTTGATAAGTTTTCTGATGTGTGTATGTGTGTGTGTGTGTGTGTATGTGTGTGTGTGTGTGTGCATGCATGCACACAATCAAAAACTTGAACTCAAAAACTCAAAATGCCAGCTGGGAATGTGGCTCAGTGGTAGAGTGCTTGCCTAGTATGCATGAAGCCCTCGGTCTGATTCCTCAGTACCACATAAACAGAAAAAGCCAGAAGTGGCACTGTGGTTCACATGGTAGAGCGCAGAGAGGCTCAGGGACAGTGCCCAAACCCTGAGTTCAAGCCCCAGGAGTGGCAAGAACAAACAAACAAAAAACCCTCAAAATGCTTCCTCTTACTTAGCATTTTTGCTCAAGGCTGACACTCTACCACTTGAGCCACTTCTCTACATCTGATTGTGAGACTTTTATCTTCTCCAATTAACCTCCCAAAAGGTGGAAGTGGAGCTATGGATCAAGTTGGAGAGCTCTAGCCTTGGGCAGAAAAATCTCAGGGACAGCATCCATGCCCTGAGTTCAAGTCCCAGGACTGGCACACACACAAACAAAAACAGAATTTAGATACACACCTCACATCCTTCACAAAAATTAATTCAGATTGAGTCATAAACCTTGTTATGGTTTGGAAATCATTTGTCTTTCAAAACTTCATATGTTGAAAGCTTGATTGGGAACCTAATATTGAGAAGTGTGGTCTAGCCAGGTGCAGGTGGCTCACATCTGTAATATCAGCTACTTGGGAGGCTGAGATTGTTGGGATCATAGTTCAAGGCAACTCCAGACAGTAAAGGAGTCCTGAAGACTCCTTCACAACAAAGAGCTGTCATCTTACTACTGGCAACCCTAACATAGGTTGGCTGCACACTAGTATATGCTCAGGCAAGAAGTAAGATCCTATCTGAAAAATAACCAACAGACGTCAGATTTGAAGGTAAGCACCCATAGAGGAAGCAAGAAGCCCTGAGTTTGAAACCCAATATGACCCCTAAAAATTGTGTTCTAGTAGGAAGTAATTGGACTTGGTGGCCGCACTCTCTGAAGGGATTAGTGGGTTAGCTTCAGAGCTGGACTGATGACCAAGAAAGCTAGTTGTTATAAACTGAATCAGCATCTGGAGTCTCATCCCTAGATCTTATGCCTGCACTTTCTACATACACTTGCTTTCTCTTCCTTTTCCCTGCCATATGATAGCACAACTGGATTCCTCATCAACAGCTAAACAGCATGCCCTTGAATTTTCTTCCCTGCTTCCAAAGGCAGGAACCAAAACACACCTACATTATAAATTATTCAGCCTCATACCTTGTCTTAGAGAAAATGGGCTAATGGCTTTCCTCTGTGGCCCTCTTTCCTTCACAAGTACTTACCATGCTTTGGCCTGTGTAATATTGTTTATTCAATCATTTATTAGCTCTCTTTGTGGCTACTCAGTAAGCTCCAAGAGGGTAGTTGCACCTAGTACACCCTCAATAAACAGCGAACAAGCACAATAAATCTCTCAATCTCTCTCCTCCCCCCCTCTCCTCTCTCTCCTCCCTCTCTCTCTCTCTCTCTCTCTCTCTCTCTCTCTCTCTCTCTCTCTCTCTCTCCAGTCCCAGTCCAGGTGCTTAAATTCAGGGCCTGGGCACTGTCCCTGAGCCTCTCTGTGCCCAAGATAGCACTCTACTACTTGAGCCACAGCACCACTTCTGGCTTTTTTTGTTTATGTTGAACTGAGGAATCAGACCCAGGGCTTCATGCATGCTAGGCAAGCATTCCACCACTAAGCCAGATTCCCAGCTCAATAAACGTCTTTTTTGACTTGCCTTTTAACCTGTTTATACTTTGTTAGCATAACTATTGAGCTATATAGAAGGCAAAGCAGGTTTGTTTTTTTTTAAAAAGCAAAATGAAGTACTAAGTAAGCCTCCATAGAAGTAAGGATGAAAAGCAAACACTTCTGAGTTTCATGGAGTATTCAACTGTTCCAGATTGACTCTGTATAAGCAACAAATGTGGTTTCCAAGTCACAGTTTTTGAATTGAGCATTGACCATTTCTAGTGTGGCTACCAGAAGCAGGCTGAGGTTGTGTGCTGAGGAGATCTAGGGAGAAGGATACAAAATTGCCATTAGAGGAAAAATAAATTCAAGAGATCTATTGCCCAACATGGCTAGTTAATAATAATGTGTTATACACTGAATTTGGCCAAGAGAGTGGATTTTGAGCCTATGAGAAGTATATCGTCATTAGGAATATTTAGCTATTCCTCAACATATACCTATTAGAAAACATTATGTTGATCACTGTAAATAAATAAATAGATATATATGTTAGACACACACACACACACACACACACACACACACACACATCTAACCTTTAGAGGAAGGTGTGTGAGGTGCTACTACCACCTCATGGCTAAAAGAGGAAATACAGCTGGCCTTTGGCTGCCGTGGCAGGGAGCAAGAGGCATGGGGACATTATCTATCTATCTATCTATCTATCTATCTATCTATCTATCTATCTGTCTGTCTGTCTGTCTGTCTGTCTGTCTGTCTGTCTGTCTGTCTATCTGTATGTCTGTCTATCTATCATCTATCTGTTGATTAATCGATTGATCTATTTATCTATCTCTATATATGTGTACATAGAGAGAGGCATGTATGTATACGTATGTATATGTGTATATACACACATATATGTATGTACACATACTATAGGAACAAAAAGTACCATGATGGGACATGTTACCTTCCATATGTCATGTCCTTGTCTGATGACAGCCATTCTAGTTGGTATGATAGTGATACCTCAGTGTGGTTTTGTTTTTCATTTTCTTGTTAATTAAGAATGTTGGACAACTTTCACATGTGTAGTGGTTATCATTTTATATTCTCTCTAGGTAAATGTCTATTCCAATCTTTTGCTCAATGTAAAGTCAAGCTGTCTCTTTACCAGAATTATTTATATACATTCTGGATTCTAAACCTTTATCAGTTATATGTTTTGTCAAGATTCCCCCATTTTGGAGGCTTGTGAATGGTACATCACAAATACAGGCATTGCCAGGTTCTGGTGGCTCAAGCCTACAATCCTAGCTACCCAAGAGGTTGAGATCTGAGGATCAGGGTTCAAAACCGGATCAGGCAGGAAAAGTCTGGGAGGTTCTTTTTTAAAAATTATTCATTTATTTTTTATTGTGAAAATACTGTACAGAGGGGTTACAATTACATGGGCAAGATAATGAGTACATTTCTTATCAAGCATTGTAGCCTCCTCCTTTGTTTCCCCTTCCCATCCCTTCTCATCCTCTCCCTACCCCCCCAATCCTCCCCACCCCCCCGCAAAGTTGTAAAGTTCGTTTTCGACATAACAACTTGAACTTCTCATTGTTGCAGTGGGTCCACTTGTATCCTTATTTAAACGACTGTTTTTCCCCTTCCCCTCCACAAATTATACCGACATCAAATACAGTGAAAGCAGGGGTTATACTGTGGGGGAGGGACATACAAAGCAACAAAGAAATAATCTTATAAATGCATTAGAAACAATCGCATGAAAGAAAAAAAAAAACATTTGAATACATGTCTTAGGGTTCATTTCCCTAACATCACCTTATCTGACCTTTTCTGCTTGACTCAGACATATACTAGATATTGCAAATAAGGGAAACCATGGGTCTGGGAGGGTCTTATGTTCAGTTTTTTTTTTTTTTTTTTGGGTCCAGTCGTGGGCCTGAATTCTGGGCCTGGGCGCTGTCCCTCAGCTCTTCAGCTCAAGGCTAGCACTACCACTTGAGCCACAGCGCCACTTCCAGCTTTTTTCTTTTTGCTTATGTGGTGCTGAGGAATCGAACCCAGGGCCTTATGCATGCAAGGCAAGCGCTCTACCACTGAGCCACCTTTCCAGCCCCTTATGTCCAGTTAACTAGCAAAATGCCAGAAGTAGAGCTATAGCTCAAGTGGTAGAGTGCTAGCCTTGAGTGAAAAAGCACTCAGGCCCTGAATTCAAGTCTCAGTACCAGAATCAAAAAACTAAAAGTTTGTATGTGGATATGAGGTGTGTGTAGTTGGTTTGTTGTTGTTGTTGTTTTTGGTGTCATTTCCACAGGATAGAGGAAGAAGGCTCATAGTTTGGGATATCTATTTTAATTCTTATTCTGAGTCAATTTTTATCTTACAACTAGTTCAAGTTTCACATGATTAAGGGATTTGTGGCTAATAGAGGAGCCCTCAGACCAGAGGGTCCCTAAAGATCCCTTTCCTCAGCCCTGCGAGCCTTGCTTGAGGAGAGAATTTTTCTCGTTGGCCATTTTCTTGGCTTGTAGTGTTGAGGGAGGAGTCCTTAGAATTCTGTCTATAATTGAAGAACTAAGGATACATGGAATCAGAGGACATTTCATGGGGAAAATTTCATGGACCAGAAATGTTCTAGTCATTTATTTCCTGTAGCGGTTTGAGGTTACGCTCAGTCTGGTCAGCTGGCTGTGCGGGTGGAACCTGTTGACGTGTTCCTGAAATCGAATTGGAGGAATCTGGCTGAGATGCCTGGTTCAAGGCCTTCTCTTCCCTCATGAAGACTGGCTGTGCTGTGGAGACCAGTTTCTAAATAGAAAACAAGAAGCAGAAAAGTCATTTGTGCTAAACATAGGCAAGGATGGTAAGAACACGATTTTTGCTGTTTCCATGCCTAGGATGAAGGACAAAGCTGTATTACAGCAAAAATCAAATGTGCTAGGATTAAAGGGCAGCATCAATAATCTAACAGCTTGACAAGATAAACCTGAATTTATTATTATTATTATTATTTTGGTGCTGGTACTGGGGCTTGAGCTCCAGACCTGAGTACTGTTCCTTACTTAGCTTTTATGTTCAAAGCTGGGCTCTTGAGACACAACTCCTGTTTTTTTGGTAGTTAATTGGAGCTAAGAGTCTCACAGACTTCCCTGCCCAGGCTGTCTTCAGACCATGATTCTCAGCCTCCTGAATAGCTAGGATTATTGGCATGAGCCACTGTGCCCAGTTCTACCAGTCTTTCAATACATTCATTAGACTAATGATATTCAGCCTAGGGAACTCAAAAGGAAAGACAGTTTAAAGAAATTAAGGGAAAATATAGCACAACTTTTCCTATGTGCATATACATCAATCAGACCAATCAGCAGTTCTGTTGACATTTTATGCAACCTATCCTGAAACCAGGGGATCGGCAACCAGAACTTGGGAGTCTTGTCTCCTTTGCTGGATTCCCTTTCTTTGCCTTTCACATTTTACTTGGAAATTCACTCCCAGTCTCTTGCTAGGTAAACAATGTGTTCAGTCTTGTTTGAGATCACAACTTAAACTCTTGGGTTCTGCTTGTTTATTTCCTTCTAACTCTTTCCTAAAACAAAGAACAGAGCAGGTGTTATGCTGGCTCTTGTTTTGGATCTTCCCTTACAATTGGCTTTGTCTTGCACTTGGCAAAAAAATGGTAGAGAATTCTACTTATCTAACTCTTGCTAAAAACATAATTATAGTGTGTGAAAACTCCAGAGTTCAACACCAAGAGACAATAAAAATATGAGTGTGTGCTAGTGACTGGTGGCTCCTGCCTATAATCCTAGCTACTCAAGAGGCTGAGATCTGAGGATTACAATTCAAAGCTAGCTTGGAGACTTTTTATCTCCAATTAATCACCAAAAAAGCTCCACCACTCCAGTTCTACTGAATTAGCCATTTATGTCTATTATCATACCCTCATAGAAGAAGCATCAGAGATTTGCTACATAAATAGAACCTAACACTAAAATGATAACTATTAAATAAAATGACATATAAGAGTTATGCCCTGACAGCAACCATGTCTGATTTCTGAAATATACTGAGGGAGTTTTGAAAAGGGTTCAAAGAAACTTGCATGAAAATATATTTGATTCAGATGAATGGATTAATTTTTTTACATTCTAAATTCTTTTAAACCAGTAACACAGTGGTATTTCCTGAAATCTAAAATATTTATTTATTATTTATTCATTTATTTATAGTGGTACTGGGGATTGGACCCAGGAGGTCACAAGTTACCATTTGAGTCAAGCCCCTAGTTCTCATTCACAAGGATTGAGATTGTAAGTAAACATTTGTATGTCCATGAAGATGTGACCGTGGAGGAAAGGGCAAGCCGAGGGGCACTCACACAGGTGCCAGGCTGCCTCATGGGTTCCCTGTGGTGCATCCTGGGATTATGGCTGAACACACTGGTTAGCCTGCCTTCTTACCTTGTGACACTTTGTACACCTCTGTTGCGTCTCATGCTCTTCTTGCTTCAGCATTTCTGCTTCCTTGAGGCCACAGTCACACATTTTCGCTTGCAGCTGCATAATCTTTGGCTTATTCTGAGGGATGGGACAAAAACTAATCAGGTGAGGAACCCCAGGAAGTCTTATACACAGGCCCTCCCTCACCAGGGAGAGACAGGGCCTGGTCTATTCCACCCACTGGGTGTCTTCCTGTAACTAACATTAGCTCTAAACCCACCAACTCTACAACCCTCTGACCTGGAATGTCTCTTTAGTCCCCAGCACTTCAGAAATACTTGAGCAGAAGCAATCCTTGCAAAGATAATGAACTAAAAGTAAAAATAAAAACAGGGGTTGGGAAGGTGGTTCAGTGGTAGAATGCTTGCCTTGCATGCCTGAGGCCCTGGGTCGATTCATCAGCAGCACCACATAAGCAAAAAGAAAAAAAGCTGGAAGTGGCGCTATGGCTCAAGTGGTAGAGCGCTAGCCTTGAGCTGAAGAGCTGAGGGACAGCACCCAGGCTCAGAGTTCAGGCCCCACGACTGAACCCCCCCAAAAAAAATAAAAATAAAAAAAACAACTCTTGGCCAGTTCTAGGATAATGTCTTGGGTTTTCAATTATTCTGGGAAAGCTAGCCCTCACTAAAAAGACACAGTAAAACACACACACACACACACACACACTCACACACACACACACACACACACACACACACACACACATACCTCTTCATCTGCTTTAGTAGTTTTCCTATAATGATAAAGCCAATGAGCCAGGTACTCTATTGGGTCACTGGGTCGAACCCTTGCCACCTCTGCCAGTGCCTGGGTTAGGGCATTTCCAAAGCATCTCTTTAGGTAGACACTTTCCATCCTGGAGATCTGGGCAGCGACAGAACACATAGTATTTTACACATGCAACCTGCCTTCTAAAATAGATACATTGTAGCCACCTCAGGTTTATCTCAAGATAAATATGAGATGGTTTGGAATCCCATTTGTGTTAGTCAGTGTTTGATACTGTGACAAAATACCTGAGATAATCAACTAAATGGAGGAGACAGTTTAGTTCATGCTTTCAGCAGTGTTGGTTGCTTGACCCTGTTGCTTTGTGCCTATGGTGAGGCCCAAACATCATGGTAGGGAGTGCATGGTGCATCAGAGCAGTTTACCACGTGACAGCCGGGAAGCAAAGACAGAAACAAGAACAGGTCAGAGTCCCATAAGTCCCTTCAATGGCACACCCCCTGGCAGCCTAACATACCTCCAGTAAATAGCACCTCTTAAAGGTTCTACTACCTCCCAATAGCATCACAGCCTGGCAACCAAGGCTTTGCACCCAGTTCTTGGCGAACACTTAAGATCCAAACCATCATATTATGCTCCTGGCTGCCAAAGGTTTAGGTCCATCTCAAGAGACCCTGAAGTATAATAACAAGGCCAGCATTGTTCAAAGATCACAGTTCTCATTGGCCTATGACTCATACCTGTAACCCTAGCAACTCAGGAGGCTAAGGTCTGGGAATCACAGTTGGAAACCAACTTGAACAGGAAAGTCCATGAGACTTCTCTCCAATTAACCACCAGAAAACCAGAAGTGGAGTTGTGGCTCAAAGTGGTAGAGCCTTGAGCAAAAGAGCTCAGGGACAGCACCCAGGCCCGGAGTTCAAAACAAATCAAAACAAAACAAAAAGAGTACTAACTCTCCTGTAAAATTTAAAAGGAAATAAAAAGTATGGTGATGTCTACATGTAATCCTACCATTCAGTAGGTGAAGCAGGAGAACCAAGAGTTTGCGGTTAGATTGAGATAAGACTGTCTCACAAATAAAATAAACAAATAAAAAGTGACACGCTGTAACATATAGTGATATGGGCTGAACATTCTCATTCTAGAAGAGAAAAAATATTGAAAATTTGGACCAAGAGCAGCAAGACTGCAACCTAGCAGGGCAATATTAAGTCCTGTAATGATGTCTCTAGCAAACATGACACCACACAGTGTTATATGTGTTCTAGACAACTTTTGGACTGCTCCTCACCCCCTTTCCCCATGACCTTTCTGGCTGCAACCCAGTGGCTTCTCTCTTAGGCTGGTTTTACTCACCTACTTTCTACATTGCTGGCATCTCCACTATCTAGGTATCTCTATTGTAGCTTTAGCTTTCCATTCACAGCTTCAGGTGTCATCCAGGGGGACTGCTCGCAGGGACTCTGACCCTGCCAAAAAGTCTGGCCTCCTGGGCTTTCCTTGGAAATCTCAGTGAAAGTCCCCAGAACCCCACAACCCACATTCTGCCTACCTGAAAAAAAAAACTGCATCTCACAACCCATACTTTGTATACCTGAAAAAAAATCTGCATCTCATGGACGATGCTAAAATCTGACACCAGCCTGAATAGTAGCTGGGGCCATATGGCTATAGCAACCTCTGAGTACCTGGATGAATCCTGAGGAAACAATTCCTTGGACATTCTAGTGCTATAAGAACACCTTAGGAATCCTCTTTTCAAACAAAAGTCTTTGAGCATGTGGTGAGTGAACTCTTGAGATTCCCTCAAGAGATCTTTCCTACTGTGCTAGTATAAGATACTAGGTTTCAGCCGGGCGCTGGTGGCTCACACCTGTAATCCTAGCTACTCAGGAGGCTGAGATCTGAGGATCGCAGTTCAAAGCCAGCCCAGGCAGCAGAGAACGTGAAACTCCTATCTCCAATAAACTACCAGAAAAACCGGAAGTGGCGCTGTGGCTCAAGTGGTAGAGCGCTCGCCTTGAGCTGAAGAGCTGAGGGACAGCGCCCAGGCCCAGAGTTCAAGCCCCACAACCAACAAAAAAAAAGAAAAAAAGAAAAAAAAAAAGATACTAGGTTTCTTCTTCTTTATTTCTTTGTGGTGATGGGGATTGAATGCAAGTTCTTTCAAGTTCAAGACTGCTGTTTTTACTACTGAGCAACATCCTTAACTTTTATGCCTTCTTAGCTGTTCTAATTTCTTGCAAATACACCTTCCTTGTCCATAATGTTAAACACATTCCTTTATTGCCAAACTGAAAGTTTGTGCATGTGTACGCGTGCACGTGTGTGTGCATGTGTGTATACATGCATGTGCGCATGTGCTAATACTGGAACTTGAATTCCAGGCCTCAGGTTCTTGCTCAGTTCCTTCACCCATGTCTAGTGCTCAACCACTTAAGCCATGCCTCAGCTTTTTGGTGATTAATTGGATATAAGTCTCATGGATTTGTCTGCCCACACTGGGCTCAAATTGTAACCCTCGTATCTCAGCCTCCTGAATAGCTAGGATTATAGGCATGTATCACTGGTACCTGACCCACTGTACACCTGGCAAATCTAGCTTAAAATACTCAAGTCGCAGACAGATAACTGTGCTGCCTTGACATTTCCTCTGCCAGATTAATTAAGTCTTTAAATTTAGCCTCACATATGGACAAAATATGGACAAAATATAATAAGTTCTTTGCCAGACTATAACACAAATGGCCTCTAGTTCCATTTCCAATACCCAGTGCTTACTTCTCAATATATTTTCATGAATCTGCTCTTCCTGTTCACATTTTTATCAGAATTCAGGTCTTTTGAGCCCTCACCAGAATCATCATAGGCTTTTTCAGGCCAACTTCTCTAAATGGTTCCATATTCATTCCACAAACAAATTCTGAAGGTTTCTGGACCATTCTGCCAAGTATAGCTACATCAATGATACCATTTTTTTTATTTTATCTGTGTGTGTGTGTGTGTGTGTGTGTGTGTGTGTGTGCTGGCACTGGAGCTTGAGCTAAGGACGTCTTACTCTAACTGGACCTTTTTGACTCAGGTCTGGTACTGTATTACTTGAGCCACATATGCAGTTCCATGATAACATTTTTTGGGGTGCTGATTTTCCTATATCAATAAGCCTTCTGTGTTATGACAAAAAGCCAGAGAGGATCAACTTAAGGGAGCAAATGTTTATCTTGGCTCATGATTTCAGTCCACAGTCACTTGGCTCCAGTATTTTGGGACCTGAGGCAAGGCAGACCATCATGGCAGATACCAGGTAAGTGGGGAAAATCTGTGCACTTCATGGCAGTCAGGAAGCAAAAGAAAGAGGGGCAGGGTGGGGACAGAGAGAAAGAAGGAGTCAAAGTTCTATATTTCCTTTCAAGGTCAATGACCTAACTTCTTCTCACTAGGCCCTACCTCTTAAAGGTTCTCCCATCTCCCATTAGCACCACAAGGGGGCAGCCAAGCCTTTAGCACTCAGACCCTTTGTAGGACATTCAAGACACAAACCATTATACCATACTCTTCAAAAGAACTAACAAATGAATACTTGCCAATAGTGTTGATATTCAAGTGGATTCTTTCTTAAAGTTGGCTAGCTAAGCCACACCAGTACTGTCATTAAGCTTGGGAGGAGCTTGATCCATCTGTGGTGCAGGCTGCCCAAAGCCTTCTACTGCCCACATCTTACTCTCTACCCTTAAGAGAAAATAGCTGGTCAGGGTAGGTAGTCCCTGGGAGTGACTGTTGAGCACCCCACAAAGTATGCTATTGTGAAGTTGGTAGCTACAGTCTATGACACAGATTACATAAGCTCATTTATTTTACAGGGGCCCTGGAAAAGCCCTGGGGAAAAGAAAGAGGAAGGGGAAAATACTAGGCCATCCAGCCACTGGAAACACAATATTCCACTGTCTAGTGCTTAAACAGGAAACTAGTTGGTTGATGTCCCTAGGTTTACTATTAATCAAATTTCAAGAATCAATGATAATATATTCCAAGTTAGAATGGTAAGTTAGAAACAGCAGGGAAAAAGAGTAGTAAAAATAGATGCCAGAATCAGACTAAGTTCCAGTCTTACCACTAAGAGCTGTGGGATCTTCAGCAAGTTGCTCAGATTCTCTGAGCCTTGGTTTCCTCTTCCTCTTAATAACTAAAGCAGAAGCAGGACACTTTTTCATTCTTTACCCCTGTCAGACCATATCAGGCCCGTGAAATCATTCAGTACGTGATGGACAGACATGTAAGATTGTCCTTGGCAGCGGAGGCACTGATAATTTGGTATGGCCACAAGTGGTGTTATAAATGCATAAATGGCTATTGGCAGCAAAAATATCTGTCACCCTGAATTAAATGATTAGTAGAGATAATAAACGCATGAAAGGCACTTGGCCTCGAAGCATGTGGTAAAAATGTGATAAATCAGCTCTTCCAATTGAAGGATTTGGTGGTGTGCAATAACCTAATGACTAGTGTACTCCTGACCAACCTGTAGTTCCATTTTTCAGGCTAAGAAAGTTAAGAGGACAGACCAATATATATGGGCCTAGAAGATATATTCCTAGCTCTTACCATAGCAAGGGCCTAGAATCACAAACATTTTGGGAGCAATGAGCACCTTGAGCACATGGAACTTGTTCTTGAATTGTTTTCATCACTTAAAAGAAATCAAGCTAGGCACCAGTGGCTCACACCTGTAATCCTAGCCACTATGAGGCTGAGATCTGAGGATTGTAGTTCAAAGCTAGCCTGGGCAGAAAAGCCCATGAGATTCTAATCTCCAATTAATTACCAAAAAAAAAACCCACCAGAAGGGGAGGTTTGGTTCAAGTGGGAGAGTATCAGCCTTGAATGAAAAAGCCAAGTGAGACCCTGAGTTCAAAGCCCAGGACTGACACTAAATAAATACATAAATGGTATCAGAACTCTTTAAAGAAATGACCAATACCAGAGCTGAGACAGGAGAAAGTGTAATAAGTCTGAATTATTTTGTTGTTCAAGGAAAAAACATATATTCAAATAACTCTAAAAAATGAAATGGTTGTGGACAGCATTTTGAAGGTTTGTCCCAGGAGTAAATGATGGCCACCCAA